AACTTTGGTTCAGAAGGCTCCGCGAAGGAAACAAACTTTGGTTCAGAAGGCTCCGCGAAGGAAACTACAACCTCGAAGATGCTACTTCAGGACTTTCCGCATGCAAGCGCCATGGAGCTGGCAAAGGAGATGCACTGCTTCAACATGGCCACAGGTCGTGTTCATCACATGCTGGAAAAAGTTGAGAAACTTGGTCGATTGATCCCTCATGAGCTGACAGAGCATTGCAAGAAAAGAGGTATCGGGGTGTGCGGAGGTTTTCTTGCAAGGAGTCGCCGTTTCGACTGGTTGGATAATGTAATTACTGGAGATGAAAGGTGGGGGCTCTACCTATGTCATACCAGAAGAAGACAGTGAATGGGTGCGAACCAGAAGCCAGAGCCTGTTCCAAAGCAGGAGGTTCATCCCAAGAAAGTTCCTCTGTCAGTTTGGTGGAGAGTTCGGGGAACACGTCATTACGAGATGCCAGACAATACCATCGTCGACGCCGAGGTGTACTGCTCACAACCACGAAGGCTCGCAGTTGAAGTCGCGAAACTTCGCCCTGAGCTGGACGAAGTTTTTCTTCTTCATGACAACGCGCGACCCATGTTGCAAGGGTAACCCAGGACACATTGGCGGAACTTGGATCTGCGGTTTTACCCCATCCTCCATATTCGCCAGGTCTTGCACCTACGGATTACCACCCACTCCTTTCCCTGGCTCACTTCTCAAAGGATAAAAACTACGACAACTTTCAATAGTTGAAAGCGGACATGGGCACTTCTTCGACTCGAAGCCTGCCGAATTTTGAAGGAGAGGCATTTGTTTCCTTGTCGACCGATGGCGGACTGGTGTAAGTGCTTGTGGGAATTATTATTAGGAATAAAGTTCAATTCAAAGAAAGATACGAGTTTTTGAAATTGAGGGTCGAATCCGCCATTACTTTCGTTGCGACCTAATAAATAAATTAATGATATATCATTTGTAAGCATTTGAAATACTTTTTTGACGATTTTATGGTACTGAGTCGCCTACAGGTCCGATGTCTTCAGCTTGTACATGATTGGATTGAGAAAACTCGCTTGATTTTGCTTGTGCAGCGGAACCGTAACTAATGACAGATTGTGAGTCTGAAGTAAAGATTTTTGCTGCAAGTTCTTTCGCTTGTTCCTGACGTTCAGCTGGTAGTTTGTCAATCAATCGTGCAGCTGTTTGTTGTTCTTGTAATGCACTGATTTCTGTTTCTTGTGTTTGTGTTGATTTATCCGTAGGTGCAGAGAACGGATTATCTAATAAATCTTTTAATGTATCATCACAGGTGTGACTTCTTTTGGTTCAGTTTGGTTTTTGCCTCGGAACTGCCGAAATCGGCTGGCTCGAGAGCATTTCGGCTGCCACCGTCGTTCAATCAATCCCAGCCACCCCGTCAGCCACCTCCGAGAAGAGATCCAAGACATCAAAGATCAGATGCGTGAGGACGCATGTGGAAACCATGCAGATCTGGTTGCTGATATATTCAGAAGCTTGATGAATGGATTGCGCGTATTTTAGATGCTGCTTCGAGTGTTTCAGCAAATTTCGCTATTTGACATTTTGACAATTCTCTGCATGCTCGATTTGAAATTACGCCTTTTGACACGTTTATTTCGTCAGGAGAGTTATATTCAAAATGTCTTCATTTTCTTTAGTTTGCGCTCTTTTGTATGATTCGAGAAACCCACGTTGAGTTGCATCAGATTCTAACCATTTTTCTTGTGCTCTGATTTCAAGCAGGCTTCAAATCTATATACAGGGAGAACATGCATTCGCAATTGTTCTACAGTCCTAACCTCCGAAAAGCGCGGCGCATCTTGAACAAGGGGATTGGTTGCAGCCAAGATCGCTGCTCCATTCCTCTTATTTTGTTCAAAATTTTTCTCAAGAACCTCCATTTCAGTTTGAGAAATAAATTGATGATTGAATTTGCATGGCAAAACTTCATTTTCAAAGTTCAGTTCAATGTAAGGGGTCCCACTCGGCGTATCAGTTGAGTCAGCTTTTTGGTGTTAATGGACAGGTCGGTCTCTAAGCCTCCACGGATCCATCCTGGAAATGACGAAGGTTTTCACTAGTCTCGATAAGAAATCCATAGAAACACCCATGGCGGTGAAGGTAGCGACGGGGGTGGTGAGTGGGGCCATGTGCAAGAGAACCCCACCCCGTGCTGTAACCTCATCGTCTGACGGCGGGAAGTTGGTTGATGTTAACCTAGCCCCCTTTTATGAACGGGGTCAAGCCGGCCCACTAAGGACTGTGCTGCGAATCAATCCCCAGACGACATCACTGGCAAGATGTTGGTTTCCTCTATTTCCTTATTTACAGCAAAACCAGTACACATACTTTATAATGCGACGTATAGCGCAACGATTGTATGAAAATTGACAAGGGGGAACATTTTGAACAAATATGGCAAAATATTAGGTCGGTCCATAAGTCTTGCAACAAACTACATTTAATGCTATAGAATTTTAGGGAGAACTCCTGAAAATCCGCAACATATTTCCTGACGTAGCATCAACCTTTGCAATTTCAGCCAACGGTCCAGCTCGTTGTCTGCTTACTTATTATGGATATTACACCGATTTCGCGAGAGGGCTCTCGTGCCCTTAATTTTTACGAGTACTGCTTGGAATGTTCCGCAAGTCATGCTAGACCAAGGATTGGCCAGAAGATAGGCGAGGGCACGCTCTCTCAAACCACGTGCAACGGCGCTTCACTCTGCTCAGCGTTGACTTTTTTATTTGAAAATAACCCACACTCCAACCACCCTGTGACTGACAATCACGATGCTCTATCTGACGCTGTTGAAAAGGGATCTGGATAGAGTATCGATCATTTGCTAGAGCGATTCCGATGCGACAAGGAGACAGCACTGTGGCATCTCCAAAGACTTGTGAAGATCCGAAAATGTAGAGTTTGGTCCCCACGTGCCTTGAGCCCGATTCAGCTCCAAACACGATCTGACACCGTTATGTTCAAGTCGACTTACTAGGGATTCTACGATTGACCATCCATCACATTTGCCGAAGATGAGGAGTGGGTACAGTTTGCTAACAAATGAACAAGCGGCGGTAGTCCAGCTCAAACTTCGGGAGTCTTACTGCTTAAGTTCAACCTCGTCCAAGTAGGGCCTTCTCGGATTTTTGGTGGAACACGAGAGGAGTTAAGCTCTGGAAACCCCTACGTGTAGATGTCGCAGTCAACGCGAAAGTCAACTATCCACAGCTCGAATGCAACGCTTTTAATACGAAAGAAAAACAAGGCAAAGTTTGCTTTTGTATGACACCGTTGAACCACCTCTTGCTAAGAAAATTCAGGAAAATTTTGAGACTCTAGGACGGAGTTCTTCCGTATTCACGTTATAGCCCTGACCTCGAGATAAATAATGCCCTTCTGCTCCCTCTCCAAACCATCTCCTAGAGAAGAAAGCTCATCCTAACTATGATGATGTCAAAATCGACATCTGATCTTTCTTCGATCAGAATTCAGTAGAGTCCTACAAGGGAGGCATCGAGCAGCTACTAGTGTGTTGGCAATAGGTTGTAGATATTGATGGAGGGTAGCATGCCGGATGAATGGAACAAAAAGATAATGAAAATATTAAATTCAAAATTCGGCCAGTTTGTTGCAAGACTTATGGACCGACCTAATTATTAAATTGACTGCGGAACAAATGAACAGCATTGCAAAAAAACAACGACTCCTAATAAAAATGGGAAAGTGAAGTGGTGTGAAGCAATTTAGCTCGATCTGCAAGTGAATATTCATAGACGCGATGTCTTATTATCACTTCTAGGCTTTGCAGGAAGCGGTGCTTACCCAAGTTTGAGGTACTAATAAGATCCGACCCGATTCAATTCGTGGTCAGAGAAATTTTGGAAAACTCTCCTAAATGGAGAGAACAAGCATTGGAAAATGTCGAAATCGACGTATTGAACAACTGAGGGGGCCACCATTTCCATTCTGGTTGAAATCGGCTGGCTAGCCGATCGTTCGGCTGGTTGGCCGAATGATCGGCCAGCTAGCCGATTCTACAAACCCAAATTTCGTGTAACCAAAATGTAGGGGTTTCTGAGCAAAACTTCACTAACATGGGTAATCGACCACGACAAATTCAATGGTATCACTGGTTTTGCATGAA